CAAGATCCCTTTCCACTTCCGTGCCACCCAGCAGGTCATTCCCTAGGCTGTAGGTGTGCTGGACATTTTTCCTCCCTAGGTGCAGCACTTTGCATTTCTCCTTGTTGAACTGCATTCTGTTGTTTTCTGCCCACTTGTCCAACCTGTCCAGGTCTGCTTGCAGCTGTTCCCTGCCTTCCGGCGTGTCCACTTCTCCCAATAGCTTTGTGTCATCCGCAAACTTGGACAGAGTATACTTCACTCCCTCGTCCAAGTCGCTGATGAAGACATTAAAGAATATTGGTCCAAGAACTGAGCCCTGCGGGACCCCACTGCCCACACCCTTCCAGGTCAAAACCGACCCATCCACCACGACTCTCTGGGTGCGACCCTCTAGCCAATTCGCCACCCACCAGACTGTGTAGTCATCCAAGTCACAGCCTCTTAACTTGCTTACCAGTATGGGGTGGGATACCATATCGAAGGCCTTCCTGAAGTCTGAGTATACGACATCCACCCCTACTCCTGTGTCCAGGCGTTTTGTAACCTGGTCATAAAAAGAGACTAGATTAGTCAGGCATGATCTGCTTGCTACGAACCCGTGCTGGTTTCCCCCAGCATAATTTGTCCTGCCGGGCTCTTGCAAATATTTGTGGATACCTGTGCTAAAACTTGCAGAAGTTTAAAAAAAAGGTAAAATATATCAATTCACCATGAGCTAAGTGAATGGATACTGTATGCAAATTGCTACAGCTATGCTTAATTTCAAGGTCAACGTTCTTAAATTGGATCCTCATTGCTGTGTGCTCAGTGAGAGCAGGGTCTGACAGCAAGGAGAGGGGGAAGGAGCTGCTGGGGGAAAAGTTGAGGGGAAGCAGAGGGCAAGGGGCTACTTAACCCCGCAGATTTATTTTCCCTGCTGTAGCAGTGGGAAGGGGACAAATTCAAGGCAAACCTCTAATCATTAGGTTGTATACCTGGAAAGTTAAAACAAATTTATAAGATGACCCCCACAAATTAGATTCTATATTGGAAAAACAGTATTCAAGTAAATACGGTATTTATCCCTAGTAGTAGGGTGTACTTCTATGGAATATGGATTTTTTTGAAAGAAGCTGTTTTAGAGTGATTAAAATGAAAATTTAAAAGAATGTGTCCCCTAGTATGTGATACGAATACCAATAAAATATTTGAACATTTCTGTGATCAGATATCTTCAAAGCAGCCCAAGAAGAAGGTATTGTATTCTTCAGGGGGGAAAAAAGAATAAAATTCTGAAGGCTGAGAAACATAAGAACGTTTGGCTCAAATATGAACTTTTCAAACAATCATAGGCATCTGAAACTAACATCAGCCTGTGTATACTCACACCCTAAATGTTCCTTTTATGTATAAATCTGCTTTTTAAAAATAGTCCATCCTATTTAATATCCCTGTACTATAAATGAGAGACTAGTGAATGCAGTAGGTTGTTAGATGGTGGTTTGTTTTTCAATTCTGTCTGTATTTAAGACACGTGCTCCCTTCCTGACTTTGCTTGCCTACTTTTTTCCTCTGTGTATTTTAGACTGGCCAGCAAATTGTGGAGTTGGATACTTTCAACCAAACATGGTGGGAAGAATTATATCAGGCAACGAAGCAAGGCCACATTCTTGGCCTTGGCAAGTTTCATTACAGGTACAAATGACAATCAAAACCTTTCAGAGGGATAAATTTTGCTGTCTTTCCTCAGTTCGTCTGTGGACAGTCTTGATACTGGAGTGAATAGCAGTTATTCAAAGTGCATTTTAAGTATGTTTTTGTAACTGTGTCCATGTGCTGGACCAATCCTGTTACCAATGAAGCCATGGTAAAATTATATATACAAATGCTTCTCAAAACTTTAAATAGAGGTTGTGGTCTAAGAATATATATGGAGAGTCTCTTGTGGTTGTAAAGTGTGTGTGTGGCAGGGGTCATCAATTCAAAAACCTGGTGAAAGCCTATTTAAATTGGATTCTAGCCACCCAAATCCTGTCAAATCAATAATGCAATTTACTTCTTTACACATTATATTTAATAATAGGAGCACAGTCCTTCTCAGAACAATTTTTAAAACTAAAAATTACATTGCAGTTTCAGGAGAAAATAGAATTTTTTAAACCAAATTGAACTTAGTTACAGAGGTATATTCTCTGTATAACCTCTTCTTTTTATTTCATACTTTTATCTACCTCTGTATGACATCAGTGAAGCTGCAGAACTTTGTCAGTGATATTTTCAGCAGTTGTAATATCACTAGTTATACATCCAAATAAGGTATATTGGTAATATGACTGGATTATTCTATAAATCAGGCCTAGGCACCATGTTTTCTTCCTTATTTTGTTACAGTCTTTTATATGCTAGTATCTCCAAAGCCTCTAGCTCAGATAGTGCTCTATTCAAGGAGCTGTTGGTGCTTTCCAATTTTTCAGCCATTAAAGATGCCCATATTTCTGCAGGTGGAAGCTGCGTAACAGAAGAAAATATGTTGTACTTATAAGAAAGAATTAATATTTGAAATTTAGCTGACATCTGAGAATTTGGGGTAAGAAAAAGAAAACTGGTAAATGCAACACATTACATTAAGACAATCTGCATTAAACTAAGATTTACAAATAAAATGAGAAAGAGACTTCAGTACAATTTTTCCCCATTCTTATCTTCCAAATGAGGAAGGAAAGACAGAGGAAAGAATTATCTAGAAATCCTACGTTGCTGCACCCAGTAATAATTGGTTTAAATGTCACAGTTCTACAGAGGGCTTCTCAGATTCCCCTTTGATTATACAGAGATATATTGGAATTGCTGGTAATATGTGCAATCCAGTACATGCAGTCATGGGAAAATGCTGATCCAAGACTAGAGTGTTTAGGAATGCACGTTATATTGAAAAAACCCAGAGAAAACCTCAAATAAAGGTAGAAGTTGGCATTTTTTTAACCTAATATGTCCCAGGTTTGGGGAGAATAAGGTGGCCATATATAGTTCAAAGGACAAATGGAAGAAAGCCTCCATACCCAGACACTTAAAGAAGTTGTGTACTACTGTGAATAATCTGAATTGACCATATGTTACACCACATATAGTATTTTAAAGTTACTTTGCTCCTAGCTGTAGTTTAATTTATATGGTCAAAAGGAATGATCAAAAATCTGATCGTTTCACAGTATGACTCAGTCCTGCTGAGAGAGCAACTAGAAGTGATTAGTTTTTTTTTGTTAGATCCTTTGTCACTTTCATTTTTCTTAACAAGTACATTCAGGTTGTAGTATATAGAAGAGAAAATACATACTGTTAAAATATGCCACGTTGATGGAAGTTATCTGAATGCTTTGGGTATATGCTTACAGATGAATCAACATGGAGATTATGCTGCCTCCCTTGTATAAATTTCAGAAGTAGATATAGCATAGTTATTTACTTTAGCTTTGCATTTGGTGGTATAAAAAAGCTGCCATCATTTAGGTGGGAATCTGCCTTTTTTTGATGAAGACCTCCCACAGGGACAGAATGTTAAGGTTTAGAAATCATTGGCGAAATGAGCAGATGTGCCAACATTTTCCTTAGCAGATTGATTCACACAGCTCTAATGATATTAAGAATACTTGAAAACCATTTTCAATTTAATCTTACGTAACAGGGCACCCGATGCAGTGCCCATTACAGAAGAAAAGGGGATATGCCATCACAAGCAAGGAAGAAAGCTTACCTGCAGCCAGACCACAGCAGGAAAGGCAGAACTGTGCCAGACCCAGAGAACTCAGATATTCCCAATGAAGCCCTGCCTGGATCCTAGCAGGACCTCACGAAGCAGGGATCAGACAGATTGACTCCTGGGGGAGGAGTTGGCAGGTAAAAGGCATGCGGGGGAAGAGACAGATTGGGCAGTGACCCTGAGGATTTAAAAGGCCAGAGCACAGAGGACTATTGTTTAACCCTCACTGGAACTGTGAAGCAAACAGCCCAATACAAGGGAGTGCAACACAATGCCATCTCCCTAGGGATATTGGTGGCGGGAAAACAAGATGACGACAAAGGAAATTCTCGTGACCATGAGACCACATTAGACAAAGAGAGAGGAATGAAGCACCCGAAGTGACATGAAGGGCCAGAGCAGCACAGGTGTGGTCAGGGCAGCGTGACAGGGTAGTAGGAGCCCCGTGAAGAGACTCCAGCCAGTATCCTGAGGCATTTTAAGGAGAACAACCCGAACTGTCCTCTTTTCTCATCAGCTCTATTTTTCCATCAAGGCGTGGTGGGCGAGTAAGAAGAACATCAAGAATACACATCAGGGAGCAACAGTAACACCTACAGCACCAGTGCGATGGCCACAACTTATATAATTGGATTGGCTAGTCGTCATTTGTTTATCCTATCTTATTTTGATATTTTTGTTCAGTTGTACCCCAACTTTGGAAGTTATTTTACTCTCTTCTGTAAACTGCCCTGAGCCTTTGTCAGGAAGGGCAGCGTAGAAATAAATTCATAGATACAGATGGGAAAATAAATAGAAAGCTTAGTCAAGAGTTTGTCCGCAGCATTTTGTGCACAGGCACACAAAAAAGATCATCCTTACCCCGAGAAAAACTCAGTTGGTATGCCAGACAGGATGCAACAGGATCTGACATGTGAGAGGATGGAAGGAAGATGATATAAAAAATGAATTTAGTAGAAAAGCAGAAGCCACATCATGCTATTTGCAAAACCAGTATGGGACAAGAGTACTGCATTTACTCCAATAAGTTGACCCTGATTAAAAAGATGACCCCCCTCCACAGTAATTAGATTTAATATATGGGAAATTTATAACTTTCTAGGCATAGAATCTAATTATTGGAGGTTGGTCTTGAATTTGTCACCCTCCCACTGCTACAGTAGAGAAAATAAATCTGGGGGGGTCAGATAGCCCCTTTGCCCTGTTTCTCTCCTAACTTTCACCCCCTGAAGCCTCTTTCTCCTGAGCATAGAAGGAAGAAGCAAATTTGAAAACAATAACCTTGTAATTAAACATGGCTGTAACAGCTTGCATATAGTACCCATAGACTTACTTCATCCAGAATGTATGTATTTTGCCTTTTTTTAAACTGCTGAAGTTTTAGCGCAGACGCTCCATGCAAAACACTTTGGCATTTACTTGCATATAGTACAAACTATGCCGGATAGTAGTCCAAAGCCAAGTGGCTCATGATTTACCATGTAGCTCACTGGGCTGGGCCCCACCAGAGTCAGTGTTTCAAACCATAGTGACCCCATAAATTTGGCGGAGGGTAATTTGGTCTGCTTCCAGACTAGAGAAAAGCTGGTACAATAGTTAAATATGATAACATGATACTGATAGTCTAACTAGACAAATATGCCAAGATTGTCATAGTTAACAGTAGGCTTTTTTATTAGCCATTGTCATGATATGGCCACCCCAGGGATGTCAATGATGTTCCTAGGGCACCGTGACAGTGCCAGCTCCACCCTATGGGTGCCTACTGATTTCACCTGCCACATCTTGCTGGTATAACTGAAGAACCAGGAGGCTGCCCTCAAGTTGCTCAGTCACAGTTCTGACAGACTCCTCTAAACCCTGTGGGTTGTCGGACCCCTTACTGGGTCTCAAACTCAGGAAGTGCCTTACCATACCACCCCCGCAAGACTTATGGGCTAGATGTGTGGTGTGGCAGGCCAGTAGGGAGTGCTCCAGCATTGAGCCACCCACCTCACTGTGCCCGACCACTTTCCAGGCTCCGAGTGCCACCCTGGGGGCACCTCATGTCTGGCCAACCTCCTTCCTAGAGTACACCCACAAGCCTGGGGGTAACGCCACCACCACCCAGAGTCTGGACTGATCTTGGCCCTCTGCCCCCTGGGAGGCACAGGTCTAGTAGTATGTGAGGGGTACTTGACCCACTGCAAGAACCTGGGGTGCTTCCCTCAGTCTGAAGCACAAATAGCAGTTTCCCTTAATCAGCCGAACCAAGGGGACCCAGAGGCATAATCTAGATTTCATAGACATTAGGGCTGGAGGGACCTCAGAAGATCATCGAGTCCAGCCCCCCGCCCAAAGGGCAGGAAGTCAGCTGGGGTCATAGGATCCCAGCAAGATAAGCATCCAGTTTGCTCTTGAAGGTGTTCAGTGTAGGTGCTTGAACCACCTCCGGTGGCAAGCTGTGCCAGACCTTGGGGGCTTGGACAGTAAAGAAATTCTTCCTTATGTCCAGCCTGAAATGGTCTTGTAGTAGTTTATGACCATTCGTCCTAGTCTTCATCCCTTGGGGCGCTCTGGTGAACAAACGTTCCCCCAGATACTGGTGGTCACCCCTGATAAACTTATAGGTGGCCATCAGATCACCCCTGAGCCTGCGCTTTTTCAGGCTAAAGAGCCCCAGGGCTCTCAGCCTGTCATCGTAGGGTCTGCTTCCCTGACCTCTGATCATGCGCGTGGCTCTTCTCTGGACTCTCTCAAGCTTCTCCACATCCTTTTTGAATTGTGGAGCCCAAAACTGGACACAGTACTCCAGCTGCGGCCTCACTAAGGCCGAGTACAGGGGGAGAATGACGTCCCGGGATTTGCTTGAGAAGCATCTATGGATGCAAGCCAGCGTTTTGGTCGCTTTACTAGCCGCCGCATCGCATTGCAAGCTCATGTTCATCTTGTGGTGAAT